CACAGACCTCGCCGTTCCCCCCAAAGGTTATTCCGGCTTCCGCGGTCCCCGTCAAGTAGCGCACCACCCCGAGCGCCGCCTTCCAATGTGCCTCCTTTAGTGCGCTTGTGTAGCGCGCCAATGCCCCCACCGCTTGAGCAATGTCGGGCCGTGTGCACACGCTCAAGTAGAGCAAACTCCCAATGAGCTCGCTATAGGGAAACCTCGCCGTGTCAAGCGGCTTCCCCTCCCTCGCTAACTTCTGCCCCGCACCGAGGGGAACCGAGCGCGCCCGTGCGCCCGCCAACCCGTGCCATCCGAGCAACTCACCCGTTAGCTTCTTTTGCGTCAACTTTAAGGTGCGCCCCTCTCGGTCGCGCGTCAACTCCGTTCGAAGGAAGTACGTCGCCTCCCCCAAGTCGCGCATGTCGAACTTCTCCGCCAAGTGCGCCTTCACCTTCGCAATCGGCTCCGCTCCCCGGGCCGCGACGAGAATGTCGCCCACCCACACGATGAGTCAAACCCGCTCCCCGTCCACCACTCCCGAAAAGAGGGCCGCGTCCACAAAGGACGCCACGAATTCGAAGTTCCCAAGCTCCTCCTTCAAGCGCGTGTGCCACGGACGCGGCGCTTGGCGCAACCCGTACAAAGTGCGCTTGAGGTGGCAAACCACGTTGGGCCCGCCTTGCTCGTACCCTTGCGGTTGTTGCATGTAAATCTCCTCCTCGAGCTCACCGTTAAGGGACGCCGTCTTAACGTCCAATTGGTGCAACTCCAAATCGCGCTCCGCGACCACCGCTAGAAGCGCCCGCAAGGTGGTGTGCTTGCTCACGAGGGCATAGATCTCCTCGAAGTCGATCCCTTGCTTTTGCAAGTACCCTTTCGCCACCAAACGAGACTTGTACCGTTCCAAGTTCCCAAGCGCATCCGTCTTAATCTTGTAAACCCACTTCACGGGAACCGGCTTTTACCCCCTCCGGTTTTTCGACGAAGTCCCACGTCCCGTTTTCCAACAAGGACCGCATCTCCTCGTCCATTGACATCCGCCAAAGCTCGCTCTCTTCTCCCCTTACGGCTTTTTGATACGTTTGCGGCTCCGGATGCTCCCCCGACCCTTTGGGGTGCTCCCCTGTTTCCGCCGCTAGATTCGCCCGATACCACTCCCCGGGCGCCCGCCTCTTGCGTGCCGGGTACCTTCTCGCCGTGTCCTCTTGAGCGCCTCTTTTTCAACGGAATCATCGCTCCCGGTGTCGGCCTCTCCCGCAGGCCCTTACACCGGGCTGAGTGTCGGCCTCCCCCGTAGGGATAGCCCCTACACCCATCCGAGTCGGGGGCCTCACACGACTAGGGCCGCGAGCACCCCCCTCCTCCTTCCCCGGATCGGAGCCAAGCTCAACGATCGCGGAGGGCCCAAGCTCATCCACCATGACGTCGCGGGAAGTTAAGATCCTACCATCCCGCTCCCGAAGGACCCGGTAGGATTTCGAGTTGGGCTCGTAGCCCAAGAACACCCCCTTCTCGCTCACCGGCTCCATCTTCTTCCGGTTTCCCTTAGGCACGTGGATGTAGGCCCGCGCCCCAAACACCCGCAAGTGGCTTAGGTTCGGCTTCGCCCCATAGAAAATTTCCCACGGGGTCTTGCCGTGCACGCTCGAGGGAACCCGGTTCCGAGTGTACTTGGCCGTCACCATCGCTTCCGCCCACAATTCCAGCCCCAACCCGGCGTCCTCTACTAAAGCCCGCGCTCTTTTCTCGAGCGTCCGGTTCAACCGCTCCGCCGAACCGTTTTGTTCGGGAGAGTGCCCCGCCGTGGTCCGTTGCACCGTCCCTCTTTTCCCGAGGAGGGCCGTCATTTCCTCATTCATGTACTCCCCGCCCCGGTCCGTTTGCACCGCCTTGACCTTCTTCCCGGATTGCAACTCCAAGCGGGCAAACACGCTCTCCGTGACTGCCGCAACGTCGCTCTTCCGCTTCAACGGTTGGACCACCGAGAGCTTGCTATAGTCGTCGAGGAAAGTGGCCAAGTACCTACTCCCCCCTTTGACGTCACCGGCATGGGCCCGCACACGTCCATGTGCACGAGCTCGAGGGGCTCCGTACTCTCCTTGGAGTCCGACTCCTTGGGGAACGGCTTCCGGGTTTGCTTCCCCATGATGCAAGGCTCGCAAACCGAAGTTTTCTTCTCCCGGAACGCCCCAGCTTTCACCCCCACACCCCGGACCAACCCGGGGCCCTCGACCATCTTGGCCAAGCTCTCATAGCCGGCGTGCCCCAACCTCCGGTGCCACAACACCGGGCTCTCGGCTTCCCTCGCGAGCAAGCACGTGTCCTACCACGTTGCCCTCGGTTGGCAAATCACCGACATGCCCTCCGCGTTGTCCTCCGCCCGAAGCATGACTTCTCCGTCCGTAGACATTTCACACACTTCACCGCGGAACACAACCTCGGCCCCTACCGCGGTTGCTTTCTTCACCGAGAAGAGGTTCTCCGTCACATCGGGGACATACGCCACCTCTTGAAGAAAATTAAGACGCTCACCGGTTGACGTCTCACACCGCAACTCCACGGTGCCCACCCCGGCTACCTCGAGAAACCCCTTGTTCCCAAACTTGATTGCCCGAGTCCCCGGCTCAAGCATCTTCAAAGTTGAGAACAACTTCTTAATCCCCGCCATGTGTTGGCTCGCCCCGGAGTCGACAATCCACCTTCTGGTCTCCGGCCCTTCCCGGGCTACCAAGGCAATCCCTTGCCGGCCCCCGGTTTTCTCCTTCTTGGGCCAATCCTTCTTCAAGTGGTCCGGGCTATCGCAAGTGTAGCACTTCTTCCCCGTCTTGGGCTTCTCGGGCACCCGAGCCCCGGACCGGCACTCTCTCGCAAAGTGCCCCAACTTTCCACACTTGTGGCAAGGCATGGAAGCCTTTCCCGAGCCACCCTTGGCCACGTAGGCCACCGCCGTTGCCGATCCCGAGGCCCCGCTATCTTGCTCTCCCAACAGCCCATGCCTTTGCTCAAAAACTTGCAACTTTGGAAGCAGCTTTTCCACCGGGTCTAGCTCCTCTTTGGTGGTTGTAAACACCGTTACCACCCCCTCAAACCGGCTTGACAACCCGGCGAGCACGCTAAAGGATAGATCATCCGGCTTTATGTCAGAGCCTGCGGCTATCAAATCCCAGTAGAGATCTTGGGCTCTGCCCACATACGTGGCAACGGACTCACCAGACTGCATCTTGAGGGTGCTCAACTCATGACGGAGTTGCAACTTCCGAGCAGCAGTTTTGTTCTTGTAGGTCTTTTTCAGCGCGTCCCACGCTACCTTGGCATTCTCCGCTTCTAAGATTGCCCCGAGGTGCTGTTGCCGGACGTGCAAACCTATCAAAGCCTTTGCTTCCTCGGTCCTCTGTCATCACCGGCCGGGTCCGTGACCCCTTTCCACAACTTCTTGTGTTTCAAGAGAAGTTGCATAGATCCTCTGTGACCACACCGTATACTTGTCAACGTCTAGAGGCTCTATATGAACCTTGAGTCCTTCAGCCATCTTCACCGCTAGCCAAACAACGCTTCTTGGGCGGGGCACTCCTTTGTGCCGGGAGCGGTTTGTGGGTTTTTCACAGGCGTCGCGAGATAGAGTACTTCACTCTTTAGCCCCCACTGGAATACCTCTCACCAACCTAGAATTGTTGTTGCTAGCAACGGCTTACTACTCTCCCCTCACTCTCTAGCGTCGTGGGCCCATAACATGTTGAAAGAAAGCGTCTTGAAGCGCCTTTCAAGTGCACAACTACTAGGAATGAGTGTCCATCACAAGTCAAGAGTCCAAATCAAGTCCAATCACGTAGCTAGGTCTACTCTAGCTTATGTGGAGTCCTTAATTAGCCTAGATGGTCCCTTCTTCAAATCGACGGCCTAACTTCAACGACTCCAACAATTACCATCGGACGATCCACACGACTCCCTCTTAATCTGTCCTTTATCTCGATGGTCTCGTATGCGTTCATCTTAATCTGATCTTAATCTGATCTAAATCTACGTGCTCTTTACGTTGGTTGTCTTAATCTCGATTGATCTTGATCTTAACCACCTTCAGACGTCAATCTTACAGCACATTAAGATCAATCTCGCTTACATCAAGTCCTTAATCTCACAAGCATTAAGACCTTGATCTCGGCCTCATCCGGTCTTAATCTCATCCACATTAAGACCTTGATCTTGGCCTCATTAAGACCAAACCTAGCATCACACAATGAACCCACCACACTACAATGGTATAGGATATTAGAGCGTAATCAAGACAAATACTCCTTCATCTCAACAGAGATAAAGACCAAAGACTCCTTAATTCTAACAGAGATTAGGAGCAAAGACTCCTTAATCTCAACACCTTGCTCGTACCTTGCGGTTGTTGTATGTCTATTTCCTCCTCGAGCTCACCGTTTAGAAACGCCAATTGGTGAAGCTCCAAGTCGCGATCAACCGCTACAAGCGCCCGCGGTGTGCTTCCTCACGAAGGCCTGCATAGACCTTCTCGAAGTTTATACTTGCTTTTGCACACGAGCTACCTACGGTGGGTTCCGGCCGAGTCGACTCCGATTCGATTCGCAACGAAACTGTGGGACCCGGTTTCAAGATCTGTCACTAGTACCGGCGGTTTTCGTCACGGTGACTTGGACTTCCGAAACATGTATGCCGATGATCGGGTACTCAGGAACTTTTGCTCGGCCGTAAGTGAGTGAGTGTCATGAAATTGTTAAAAAGTGTGGTATTTTACACTTTCACGAAAGCATCAAAATGCCACACTAAGACGAGGCTTATGCAACATGCATAAACCTCTGACAAGCAAATAGAATGTTGGGGGGCGTCATTAGCTATCCTTTGAAGCTCCAACATTATGTTTTGTTCAGGACAAATAACAAATAGCAGCATAGGAGGCGCAAAGTTGAACGCCATTGTTGAATTTTGAAGAGCGACTTCTCTTACATTCCTCTATCGAATCTCTGCACTCTTCTCTCAGTCTGGGTACTGCAGTATTCTTGCTCGGTACAAGTCGGATGTTCCGACCAAGACCTTGAAATTTAAATCACGGTATTTTAACGCGCAGACTCGAGTCTCACGCGACGGGACCGTACCTACGCTTAGTACGCAATTGCCCGTTGATTGACGTGTCAGAAAAAGTTCGACTCATGAACTCGGACCCAATTCTCAAGTATCGCGTGACACCAGTCAAACAAATTGGAGACCGGACCGTGACGCGGTCGATACCGTCGACACCGCGCAATTTGCTATATGATCGTGGGTGTCTTTGATCGCGGCCCTCTTAGACAAGCAACCCGTTGGCTCTATACCCACAACACGTAAAATCAGCCTACCAACTCTCGGTTCCATTGGATCATGCTTCCGACCCTTCAGATACATCTAATCCCCTATCGCAAAACTTCTAAGCTTTGGCTTAAAGTCGCCGGAGCGCTTATGTGCATATCTTAAAGTATCCATGCGTTGCGCAAGGCTAAGTTGTTGAAAGCGATTGGCATCTCACGCTCAATTGACTCAGGACGTTCCTTACAGATGACTCTTGCCCAAGATCGTCCAAGTCCACAATCTTAGTGAAAGTCCATTTGATAGCAATTCCAACAATTGGTCATCCCCCAAAAAATCCATGGCTCGTTTCCTCCCCAAGCAAGGTTGGCGGTTCGACGGTATCAGTGGCTCGCACGCAGCTTCCCGATTTGACAAGGGCTTTAGTAATTTCCACACAACTCAACCACAATCAAGCCAGAATCCATAGTCAAGTCGAAAATTATCCACAATATCTTGATTCAATGAACGTAGATGACAATGATTTTTTTGAAATTTAGGAGGCATTGTCATTGTCTGAAAGCAAAGACAAGGTTTGAAGAAGCAATTGAAGTCAGACACTAAAGTAGATGGCCACTGTATGCTTGGTATGCAGCATAAACGACTTTATTTAGCCGTTTTGGAGCAGCATCCATTGACAAACCCGAATTTGCACGGCATTCAACCACTTCAAAGCTGACACCACATCTAGGCAATGCATTTTGCTTACGATGGTTAACACAAAAGAAGCAAACAAGCCGAGCAAACCGTGACTCCCTTGTCTTCTAGTCGACATGGTATTTAAAGTACCGTTATGAGGATACGGCACCATTCCAATTGTTCAATTACACTCATGCCAAGCAGCATGGTGTTAGCATCATTGTGCGTTATAACAATGAGCCGTCACAGTAGCCTCTACTTTTTGTGCCAAGGTCAAAAACACAAGTCACCGGGTCCAATGTCCTATCAAACGCTTTTCATACCCTTTCATCAGCATAACGCAAGACAATAGCGCCATAATGCATCATACGAAGCTTGATCCGGCATTTATGGCCGTTGCCCTTCAGCAATAACCATTTCACACCCAATATTTGCGGCTATATTCTTGAGAAGTCGGCCGTTGACATTCAATGCAGCTTTCACGGGTCGTTCTTATCAATCCGATGGCCCTTGTGAACGCCGATATCACGATCAGAAGATTGCAAAGCATAATTGGCAGGCAGAGCGCCGAGCAAAGTATTGAGCCCCTCATTCGACACATCACAAAGCTCTAGAAACTTATCTGTCTCATTTCCCTCCAGTAACAATGAGATAGCAGGGGAAGCAGAAATAGCGGCGCATCATGGACGCTCAAATGAGTACACTTGCCATAAGGCCTCTTTACCTTTATCTCATCAAAGTATGAGACTTTGACCAGGGCAGTGAAACAGCTTACCCTGCTCAACCACTTTGATCTGAACAGTGCATTCTTACATGCTATCATACCCTATTTCAACAAGGGCAAGGAAACTATCACGCTCGTATTGGTGTCAGTCACACTAGTTTCCGAGGCATCTTGATCCAACTTCATCTGCAAACTGCTTAACACTCTGCGCTCGACAACCGCGTCGATAAAGATTCGTTTCTAACCGGGAACAAACTCGCATTTGTCCAAAAGGGTTTTAATTTCAGCGGTCTCATAGCCCCTGTCCCGAAATATAACGGCTAAGTCACTCAATTCCGCGGAGACGCGCCGTTTTGCCGGGTCTGTAACGATTACGACTGGTTAAGCCTAACCTCGTTCTCGACAGGATTTCGTTGACCACGAGTTAGCGAAACGGCGGTGGTTACGTCTTAACGACGCACTGCGTAGCTGTCTGCAAGATGGCGTAATA